GAGAGAGAGAGAGAGAGAGAGAGTGTGTGTGTGTTTGTGCTAGTGCTTGTGTGTTTTATGTGTTTCTCTGTCCTTTCTGAGCAGAGGAATTAGAGTGTGAAGCAACTTAATTGGCTTGAGTTGAATTCCGCTCTCTGCAGGTTGTTTAAATGCCGCAGACTTTCTTGACAACAGGCTGGTGTTAGGGGCTCTTTGCATGTCTTATTTATTTATGGTTGGGATTTTAAGTGACTCCACAGCTTTTGTGCTTCTCAAAAGAAGTCTTTAAAGGAAGGGGAAATCTCCGTGTTAACCTCATTTCCCTCGATACACAGGGCAGCATCGTTCTGGATCCTTTCGCCTGTCCTCTAGCTAATGTGTCACCCACACATTCTCCGTGGGGCTGGCTGTGGCACTGTGTTATATGTTTAAAAGCTCAAGGTCAGACTGTCTAGACAGCCCAGTGAGTGCTGTGAAGCCCGGGGCTTTTGTGCTGGCCTCACTGTGTACTCTCTGTGGGTTTAAGTTTAATCCAGGTGCTCCTTCATGCCTTGAGAATATAATTTTTCATAATCATAAGGTTTTCTTCCCATGTGGTTATTGGCTTATTTCAGTGTAATTTTTGCATCAGCGACTTCAACTGGATTCGTTTGCAGGGGTGGGGACACTGGTGAGAACAGGTTTGGAAAAAGCAACAATGAAACCCCCCTCCTGCCCCCTCCTCTTTCAGTTCTCAGGCTGGCTTTTCAGGATCCCTAAAATCTGCCCTGGCAAGAGCGAGTTAGACCAGGGAAGAGACAACTACTGTTTCCAAGCAGCCAGTTGGTGGCTGTGCCCTGGGGCTGATGGTAGGGCGATTACACAGACTCTGATGCCCTGGCTTGGGTTTGATTGTAACTGGCAGAAGGGAAAAAAAGTTTTCCCTTTTCTCTGAAGTATGGTGGCAAATCTTTACGATAAGTGGGCATTGACACATTGTAATGAATGTTGTGATGACCTCTGGGAGCTTCTGGGGAACCACTTGGGCACCATTGCTGGACTCTGAAATGTATTCGAGGATGAAGCCAGGTCTTGGATCTCGCACACAGAGGTGGGTAGTTGTATGCACAGGCGAAACATTTATTCTGCAAGAGATTACAGGAAACATTAGGTTCCTAATTTATATGCTGCTTTTGTCAAACATTGTAGGCAGAAAGCAGATAGGGCATTTTGGCTTTAACTTGATATCTAATTCTCAGTGTCCTATTTAGCAATTCATAGGATTTTAAAATCTAGTAGCAGTAGGAAAGGTAGTTTTTGAGGTGAGAGCTAAATTATGGCATAAAGTTAGAGGGAGGTTGAGAAAAACATAGCTCTTTCTTAATGATTTTTTTTTCTATATTTTTAGGGAAGGGTCTACAGGGTGTTCAGGGTCTCACTACTAGATCGGACTTGTAGTGATCTGCCTATTTACAGCCTTCCAAGTGCCGGCATTACAGGCATGAGCCACCATACCCAGTCTCAATTGCTGTCTCAGTGTACCCTGGGGGTGGGGTCAGCATGGCAGGCCCAGGGATCGAACCCCAGCCCCTGCACCTGCATGCAGGCACTTTAATCCACTGAGCTATTTGTCCGGCCCCTCTTAGTGATGGTTTTCAAGTTAGGGACTCCTTCAGAATAATGTCCCCTGTCCCTTCCACCACCATGCTTTACACAGGTTGCTCCATGAGCTAAGAGCTTTACATAAATGAGTTCATTTGATTTGGGTGTCTGGGGGGCAGACTGAACCCAGGGAGCTACATCTCCAGCCCTTTTATTATTATTTTACTTTGAGGCAGAGTCTCACTAAGTTGCCCAGGCTGGTCTTGAACCTGCAATCCTCCTACCTCAGCCTCCCGCACAGCTGGGATTACAGGTGTGCACCACCAGGACAAGCTGGTTCCTTATAGCAGCAGTACAGCTGTGCTGTGGGCTATTTTTAGGAAACAGCTTCAAGTCGACCCAGTAGTTTGTGCATGTCTTTTTGCTGTATGTGGACAGTCTGTCCCTTGAGTGTGTTGCTAGGGCCACATTCTGTTGTGGCAAAAGGTGTTTGTGGTGGAAACTGTAGCTGAGTTCAGAGTCGGGACTGGCCTGACTCACAACTCCAGAGTCTGCTGACTTTGCAGGAGTTAACCTTGACGACTCCCAGAGCCACCTCAGCATGGGGTGGGGGCTTTCTCTTATCTCTTTCTCTGGTTTCTCTGGTGCCTAGGTCATGAGGCAGATCTACAGAAGGTATTTAAAAATTGCTGACAAATTTGTCTGGGTGTTCTCAGCTTCATTTAGGGATTTGTCCATACTCTAGCTAAGGTAGTGTTGTCAGAAAAAATGAAATAAAGAGGTCTCAAGCCCTCGTGTAATGAAAGGAAATTATTTTAGAGATTTATCTTAATCTCAGAATTGCCTATTATTTCTCCATCTAATGCTTTGAACTCTTGTGTTGGAAAATAATTGACTTGGATTGTGTTAAGAAATCAATCGTGTTGTAATTTCTTAAGAACATTTTATTATAGATGTATTCTGTGAAAGCAAAAATTAGAGAACTTTTGATAGCACAAATGGATCTCCGTATCTATTATACCATTCCATGTATTAAGCTGAATGCTGATGAGGACTTTATAACAATTTTTAAAAAAATTTATAACAGTGATGTCAACGCTGTAGCTGGGCACAGCGACACCCCCCTGTGACCCCACCTCAGGGAGGCTGAGGCATGAGGGTCATTTTGAGTTTAAGGCCAGACTGCACTGCAAGAAGAGACCCCCCCAAAAAAAAAAATAATAAAAGAATGCTATAGATGGGGAAGATCCAGTCTCAACCTCCTGGCAGAAAATCTCTGTTAAGAGAAGCTAATGTTTGCTGGTGCAATGGCTTCCTGCCATTGAATAACCAGTCTTGGTCGTGGTGGTGGAGTTCAGTAGGAGCTGGAGGTCTCTGTCAGCTTTGTCACTTATTATTCTAATTTGGGAGTGCTAGAGGGCTGACACCTGGGAAGCAGTCACATGAGGAAATAATTCTATGAAACATCGCATGGAAGATAGACAGTTCCAGCTTCTCACACAGGGGCAACATGGCGGGCAAGGCCCATGGAGTCTACGGTTAAGTCTCATTCAGATCTTGCTCCAGGCCTCTGGGCTGGGTCTTAGCTGTGAGTGCTCAGACCCCAAGGCCTTATCTTGATGGGACAAACTGGGGGTCAGTAGGCTTAATTTGACATCTGAATTTGTTCTTTGTTTCTCCAGCTGTTTCCAACCTAGATGAGGAGAGTCGCTGGACAGTCCACTACACAGCTCCATGGCACCAGCAAGAGAACGTGTTCCTTCCCAGCACAAGACCGCCCTGTGTGGAGGACTTGCACCGCCAGGCCAAGCTCAACCTCAAGTCGGTGTTGAGGGGTGAGTAAGATGCACCGTCCCGGGCTCGAGTGACTGTTCGAACTGCCTGTAGAGCTGGATTGCCCTCTGTGAAAGATCTACTTGTGGTGAATAGATAATATGCCACACTTTCATAAATAAAACCTAATGTATGCCAGAGGTGCTCTGGTCCCCGGGGGAACTCGCTTATTTACAGATAGGCAAACCTGTCTTCCAAGAAGCCACTCCTGCTTTGAAACCCGCAGGCTGCATGTTTAAACCTCTTGTGCCCCTCGAGTCCAAAGAAATTCCTGCTGACACAGGAAAATTTGCCACTGCCTTTTAGAAGTGACTGTTAGTAGTCAAAGCAGATTTGTTAAGGTTGGTCGTCTTAGTGGTTTGGTCTGTTTGATGTAAGTTCAGGCAGGTGTGCCCTGCCTGCAGGCTCCTTGCCCTGTTTATTTCTCTCTCTCTCTCTCTCTCTTTCTCTCTCTCTCTCTCTCTCTCTCTCTCTCTCTCTCTTCTTCTTCTTCTTCTTCTTCTTCTTCTTCTTC